AAAAATGCATTTATAATAATTTCATCAATTAATTTCGTGATTGAATTATGTTCCAATCAATTTTGTTAATTATCACATATATAAAAGATTATATCCTTTAAATAAAACATCGTTTTTATAGCGTTACAAAACAAATTGAAAAATCTTATACTACGATATTATTAGTGGATAATTATAATTATATGTATGCTTAACTAACCATCTTTTACTAATTCCTTCATTTAAATTTTATTTTTTCAAACTAATTAGATAATTAGCAGAAAAATATGATTTTCTTATATGTAGATTCTTTTCTAACATAATAATAATTATAAAATAAACGTAACTGTGAAGAAATTGGTAGAAAAGGAAGAAAGGCAAATATGGAAACAATATTTTTTGATGATAAGAGAAAGTAATAGAAATAATTAGTAAAAATATAAATGACAAAAAAGGAAAATGATTTCAATAAAAATAATCAGTACAAAAATAAATGACAAAAAAGGAAAATGCTTTCAATATACATTCCACTCCCTTGGACAGGATAAGTTGGATTTGACTTTTCGTAGTTTCAAATTAAACCTTTTCATTTCATGATTCTCAATTTAAATCGCGTTTTTTTATTAACAATATAAATCAATAATGGTAAATGATAACCTCAAAACATTTAAACTGATATAAAATCTTCAAAATACTAAAATAAACCCAATTTAAATAATTCTCAAAATATTTTAATAAAAAATTACAAAAGTTATTTAAATAACATAGAAAGAAGAAATGTTTAATTTTAGCTTTAACTTGCCAAAACTCTCCTTTCCAATTTGAACTCACTTTCCAAAAACAATTAAAAATCATTAATGGCAAAAATATTGTTTGAAAAAAGTAAAGATAGTGTGGGACCCACCTACAAGAAACCCCCCAATGTGGTAAAAAGAAGTAGAGAGAGAAAGAGAGTCATGCAGGCAATAGACTCTCATAAAATTGCCATGCAAGCTTGCCGTTTCCATATCTCTTCGCCATTTGGGGAAAACGCCTCTTTATCTTCCCCTCTCCCCCACTCTCCCCAATTTTAGCAACTTACTCCATTCATCGAACAGGGTTTTAGAAGGTTTCTTTTTTTTTTTTTTTTCTCTATAATAATTATATATATACACACAAATAGAGAGAGAAAAATCAGCGATTTTGGGGGAAAAGGCCAAATTCTTCTCTTCGTTGTTTGTCGTCCTCAATTGGGTGTTTGAAATTTTTGTGGGTTTTTCTGTATTCGATCGAACATGGGTAGAGGGAAAATTGAAATCAAGAAGATTGAGAATGTAAGCACGAGACAAGTGACGTTTTCGAAGAGACGTGCTGGTTTGCTTAAGAAAGCTCATGAACTTTCCGTGCTTTGCGATGCTGAAGTTGCTATTATCGTCTTCTCAAATACAGGTCGACTTTACGAGTTCTCCAGTTCTAGGTATTATTCAGAAACCATTGCATGTGTTTTCCGATTCGATTTTGAGTTCCGATTGATGTTTGTTTTGACTTCGCGTTGTTTCCCTTTTGGGGATTTTAAGTTGTTGCTTGATTTCTGGAACTGATTGAAGTTTTATTGTTTAATTGGGGTTTTTGATTGCATTCATCTTCCAATGCTTAGTTGTTTTTGGGGGTTTTGACACTTCAATTGAAGTTTTCACTTTGCGATTTCTGTTTTTTTGGGGTTGAGAAAGTTCGATTCTTTGGTTTCTGAATCTGATGAATAGATCTATGTTTTTGCATGTAGTTAATTGTTCCTAGTTCTTGGATTTGTTTTTCTCAATCCACTGTTTCTAATCGAATGTATGTGAAATTTAACTTTCGATTCTTCAAAATAAAATCAATTTTGGAATCCATTCACATCCATTTACTGAGATTGACTAAGATCCCCTCCCTACATCCATTTTTTTCCCAAAAAAAATGTTCTTAGGAATCTGCATTGTGTTGATTACCCTTAGTTCTAACTAAAATCATGTCGATGTACTCTTCTTTTTCCATTTTGTACATGTTCATGTACTCTTCTTTTTCCATTCATAAATTACTAACTTTGTGGTTTTTTTGATAATGTAATGCATGTGGGACATTCTAAATCTTGCTAGTGTATATTTTCAAGAATATGCTATTGACTTTTAATTGTTGAATCATAAATTATTTTATGCTTAAATGTATGATGCCATTAAATATACCATCAAAAGAGTCATATTTTCTCTTACGTTTGGCTAGTTTATATTTTCAAAATGGTTGCCTTATATTTACTTTTGTTTTAATATGTATCCATATCATTAATAACATCAATCTATTGAAAAAATTGTGCTAAAAAACTAAAAATGTCAAAATTCTAAACTTTAAACTTGAAGTATCCTAAGCATTGACTTTTTATAACAAAATTAGATTCTTGTGTGGGATTAGAGAACAATACTTGAATTTATATATGATAAAGTTTAATTTTATTTTTTTAATTTTTTTTGCAGCATGCGAGGAATACTCGATCGATACAATAGGGCGACAGAACCATCTACATCACAACTACAAATTGAAATGGTACATTCATATTTTCCTCATTCATACCTAATTATAACCAATTTTGCAATGTATTTATTATAAATTTATTGTAAAAGGTCACATGTCATGTCATGTGAACTTTTTGCAACATGTAGATAAACTCATTCCTCCACCCCTTATAAAATTTAAGGAATCTTGGAACATGGGGGTTGCCTTTTTCATGTCTAGTATTGTTTTAGTACTAAAAGATTACAAACTCTCATTTTAATCCTATGTTTGTAATTACCCGTTGTTGATTTCTTGTATTTCTTTATTTATTCATAGAGGCAAGAACAAGTCGAGCTCGAAGTTTTGAGAAATGAACTCACAAGACTCAGAAATGAAAACGCGTATGTACTTTTTTTCTTTGATTTATATGCTAATTGTTTAATCTTAATTTTCTAAAAATTGTATCTAGTTTGATACAATTCGATTATTACATGCAATGATTATTCATAGTTTACATATAATATAAAAAAGGTTCATGGTCATAAAGTAGCATTCTACTTTTTCATCTGTCCCACTTCCTGCGTAATAGTAGGTGAGACAGAAGAAAATGTAAGTTGTTATTTACGATTTTAACCTTCAATGATTTTAATTGGTCAACTTGACTTGAAAAGTATTTTGAAAGTACATTGCTATTCTAGAACCTCATTTTGTTATTTTATTAATGAAATGTTTTGAAATTTTTGTTTTTTTTATGGTGTAGGCGGTTGATGGGCAATAATCTTGGAGGCACAAACGTGCAAGAACTAATTCAATTAGAACATCAACTAAGTAATGCCATAATATCGGTTAGAGAAAAGAAGGTTTTTATCTCTATTTCAAAAATCCCCACCACAACTACAAATAAAGCATGAATTATTCAAACTTTTATAAACTTTTAACTAATACATTAAATGTTGTTTTTTAGAATGCTTTGGTGTTTGAGGAGATGGAGCATTTAAAACACCGGGTAACTTTTTTAATTTTATCAAGTGTTGTCTAGATAAATGATTTTTAAAACTTATTTAACAAAATGTTTATTTGATTAATTTGTATATCTGTTAAGTCCATTAAATAAAAAAGAAACGATTGATTGTCTTTTTTTACATGTTTTTGTTAGGAGAGAGAGCTTGGTTACGAGAATGAGGTTCTTCGTGGAGAAGTAATTGATTAATCCCATTATTCCTCGACACAACACCGGTTTTTATTTAATATTTTCAATTTTAATTTTCTTTTTTAATGTTTAGTAATTTTTCACCATGTGTTGTAGATTGATAAATTGAGGCGATTTATCCCGTTAGCTTTACCGTCTACTCAACCGACTTTCCTGGAACAGACACCCATGGCTGCTCCGAGTAGCAGCGCCGGTATCTCGAAACATGACAGGGTTAGTCCGGATACTGTCTGCTACTATGGATCTGACAACACTGACTCTGAAACTGCACTTCAATTGAGGTATTCAAAAGAGAAAAAATACAAAAAAACACTTGTACTTTTATTATTTTAATGATTTGGTCAATTAACTTCTTTTGTAGAGATTAAAAGTTTACATTTTTATTCATCTTTAAAATACCTTTTCTTGTCACATGTTCCCAAAGACGGGCGTAATACCAATAACACACAACATATTTTCATTCGTTTCTGAATTTAGTCATTAAACTTTTTTTTTTTTTTTGAGAAAATACGTCATTCCTTTTTGTATTTTGCTTGAATATCAAAACTGGGTAATCAGAAAAAAAGAAACGCTAAATGCAAGAAATATCTAAAGTATCTTCTTTAATTTGTGTATTAAGCATTCAACTATCGTTTTCTTCTATTACATCATTATACTTTCATTTTTTTTACTGTAAAATTGAAAAATGTATCCAAGACAACAGTTTGTTATCAACTTCTTTCTTTATTACCACATTATAAGTTGAAAATTCTACATTTGTAATGTATTTGGATTTTGGATGACATTGCTATATAACTTGACACAAATTTCAAAATACAATATTTTGTTACATAGAAATGAAAGTAAATTGAATTGAAATAATAGTAATAATAATAATAATAAAGTAAATTGCTAGGTCAAAATAAGTATATAATGGTTTAATCATTATAAAAATAATTTAGTGAGTATGATCAATAAAGCGGTGAAAGTATTTTTTTTTTTTTTTGTCACATTTTTATAGTTATGTGAATCAGTATGATATCATTGTCTTGATTTTTGGTATTTAGGCCACCTTGTAGTGACCACTCAAAAACAAAGGAATCAACATTGACAAAGAGGGAATGTAATTCAAGTAGTTGTCGAAGCGATGAAATGGAACAATGATCATGGAATCTTCAATGCCGATTGTAAAATGTGGATTTCCGATTTTACCCTTTTTATTCCGACATTCATCCTGGGATATGGTTAATTTTCGTCTTTTGCGAGAACTTTATGTATTATGTCACATCAGTTTGGTCGGCGATTGTTAGATTTTGAGTTTATGAAAATAGAAATGATGTTATTAGGATAAAGATTATTATGTTTGGGGATCTTTTTAGTTGGATGGAATTAAATGACGAATGAATTGAATAGAAATATTAATGAACTTTATTTTATTTTATTTTATTTTATTATGTGAATACGTGTGATTTCAAATCTTATTCTATAAAAGGTTTAACAAAGTCAGAGATACTATATAACCCAAAAATTTTATAGTAAATAGAAATAAATAGATTATTTTTAAATTATAATCGTAACAAATTAAAATAATGTAAATCAAGTTATAATAAAAATAGTATTTCTTTAGTTATTTTAAACATAATGGTTAATGATATATTTTATTGAAACTTTTTTGTTTCTTATAAAAACTAACACAAATGTAAATGAATTATATTGCGTGAAAACATCGATCGGCTAACAACATAAAAGAGTTCATCGGAAAAAACAAACGTTTTTTTTTTTTCAATAAGAAACACTATCTTACGTCTTTTAAAATAATTATTAGCAAGTTTCAGGTTATACAAATATATATTACAATAAAATCAATACTATATATGCTATATATGTCTACACCATATAGTTGGCATTGCGTATAAGATATCATCCAGACGATATATATGCGTAGATTTATATAACTTTGTAAAGGTTTAATATAATAGAATAAGAGAAATTAATAACAATATATGCGTAGATTTATACAACTTTGTATAGGTTTAATATAATAGAATAAGAGAAATTAATAACAATATATGCGTAGATTTATACAACTTGGTAAAAGTTTAATATAATAGAATAAGAGAAATTAATAACAATATATTTATTAGCAATTGTATTAAATTCATAAAGTGATTTACATGGTAAGCTAGATATACATAGAAATAGGACAACTGAAGAATTATTCAAATCTATATAATCTATACAGTTGCTAATAATATTTTTGTAAATGTTAATTCTATGTTACGTATGTTGTAGAGATACGCATTGATATTGAAAAAAAAAAAAAAAAAGTTGACCGTAGTCATTTTTTAAGATTGATTACGGATTACCGACTCACCGTTTGAAAAGATAAATTTGATTAGGTGTTATCTACTTTTTATCGTCATTTTGTTTTTACAAAAATTTAAGTTGACATGATTATAAAATAGCCTATCTATTTTAATTTGTTTCAGTTTAATCACTTTTTATTATATTTTCCAAATTTATCTCAGCCAGGCCATTTAAACGCTAAATTAGTTTGATTTATTTTTTTTGATATATAAATTAAACTAAGCATCAGAAACGAGTTAATTAACAAAAATATTTTTTATATCGTAAAATAGGAAAAAACAAACAATTTTTTTAAAGTGCTTTATTTTTTATTATTCTGTCATTCGATGACTATTCCAGGGTTGATGAAATATGACGTAAAGCTACTCTGAAATTTAATTTGGTACATTCCGGATTAACATTATTACAATCCAAAATATGTGGTATTATAGAAAACCATTTTAGAGCTACTAAGATAAACATATGTATATCATTTATTGGTACTAAGATAACCATTTGTATATCATTTATTGGTCCATTTTGTAGAGATTATTTTAGAAATTGTTTAGAGCATTTTGTCATCTATATTTATATTAGTGAAAATGAGTATATGTAAGTAATTTGTTAGAATATGTTTGTAGTAGAGAAAAATGAAAACGAATAAATGGACTTATGCATTATATAGCTGCAAATTACACCTACTAACTATGGTGTAGATTTAACCACTCATATAAACTATATTTGATCGGTTAAATTGATGGTTTCGAAATCAAAGTTACATATTAATTAGATATGTCTTTTCAGTGCTCTGGATCAAGCATAGTTATACAAATAATTAACGATAAAATGTCAACTCTTTTTACTATTGTGACCGGTATGCTTTCTAACACAGTACATATGTAATTACTCATGTTGTCTAAGTGGTTATAATCGATTTGCATAACAAAATCATTCTAGCAGTAATAGATCGTCTTGTGTCGGAAGTAACAACATATGTAATTTATTACTTATGACACTAACTCATATATACCTGAGGAATACATAATAAGTTCCTTATTATGGGGTTGTATGTGAGGGTGATATTAGGTATAAAGATAATGATGTAGCTCATAATTAGGGATGTAAATAGGGACAAATATGGGTGGAGACTACAATTCCCACCCCCAACACCCACACTCCGATCCCCACATCCATACCCGTTGCGCCCCATGTAATTCGTGACGGGTTCGGGTAAAATAAATCCTCGTCGGTTACGGGTAACATGATGGATATCTGTTTGAAAAAAAAATTATTTTTTTGAAAATATAAAAAAACATAATAATAATAATAATAATAATAATAATAATTAAAATTTTAACAGTTCATACTTCATTCTCATTGACGAAATAGTAAAAAAGATAATCACGACATTCTCATGTTTTTTTTAAAACTAAAATAACAACAAACCTTGATAAACTAAGTATCATGATCCAAAACGTTTGGACACACTTCATCATCTTCTATAACTTTAAATTTCGCAAAATGTTTTTCTCTGTTTGATTGTGCAACCTAAGAATAAAAAATTAAAAATATAAGTACTTTTACAAAATATTTTCTGTTAAAGAAAATAAAATAATATATAAAGCTTTAAAATATAGAAAACCATACCTAACTTCTCATGCAATCTTGTACACAAGTTAAACGATTCTAATGTATATTGATGAAGCCTATTATGATGAGGAGTGATGTGTATTCCACTAGTACTAAAGGATGATTCAGAAGCAAATGTAGAAACTGGTAGAGTCAAAACATCTGTAACAACTTATTGCAAAGTAGGACATTCAAGATAATTAGCCTTTCACCGTGCTAAAATATCAAAATCTTGGGGTTCTTGGCAATGAACTTTGGATCAATAGATAGAAACATCAAATTTTAATCTAAGAATCCGAAAGACCAAATCAGCACCCAAATAATCGATTTTAGTCAAGCATTACCAAACATTGGAATAGATTACAAGCAAAAAATTTATTACAGTCTACATCTTTATATAATAGAGTCTTTACTACAATTTATATCAATGTGTGTAGCCTACATATTTTAATAATAGAGTCTTGAGTCTTGATTCTTAACGTTAAAAAAAGAGTAAATGGTTGAAGTGAAGACCGAAGAGTTGATTACTTGAATAATGGAAGATTCGTCTTGTCTCTCATCTGGAAATTGTAATTTCCGATATATATATATATATATATATATATATATATATATATATATATATATATATATATATATATA